CCGAGCCCAGGCCGCACCTTCTACACGTACACATTGGTTGTGTGTGTTTATCAGAGAACACTGGAACTCAAGAAATGTCTGGAAAGATCCGCTTGTTGCCATTGCTGCATTCAGATAAAGGATTCCACGATGGAGGGCCAACCAGATAGCTCAGTGGACCAAGTGCCTGCTAAGACAAGCTCAGGGACTGGGGTGTGATCCCCAGCACCACGTGCCATGCCGGCCCTGCCCCCAGGCACACTGAGCTGGCCACTGAAACTGGGTGTGGTGGCGCACACCTGTAATCCCAGCTCTGGAGAGGCTGAAAACAGGAGGATCACTACGTGTCTAAGCTGCATAGTGAGACCCTGTACAAAATACATAAATGAAAGAAAAAAAAGAATTCTTGAAAAAAAGTTCTTAAGTGCAAAATGTACAGAATGGGAGGTGACAGATTTAGAAATCCTAGCTCCTTGGTGATGGAGTTGTAAGGCACAGGAGAATGTTCCTCTTCCGGAGTCAACCTCAGACCAGCACTGTGTGCCAAGCAGAGGGGAGGGAGGGAGTGGCACCCAGGAGCCAGTGTGCAGCGTGGGGACAAGTGGATGGAGCAGGAACTCCCCAGAGACAGGAAGGGCTAGGAATGAGGGCCCAGCCGAGGAGGGGCCCACCATCGTCAGAACTGTGTCTACAAGACACAGAGCCATGCCACCGTGCTGCAGGGCTGGCCCCTGGTCAGGAAGAGGCTGTGATGGGGGGCTGAATGCCCACCTGGGTCCTCCCAGGAAGAGCACAGCCGAGCCGATGGGCAGCTGGACTGGTGGCAGGTCCCCGGGGGCCACAGGGCCCTCATTGTGAAGAGGACGTTTCCCACCCCTGAGGAGAGGGACACGGGTCCTCTGCGGCTGGGCTAAAGTAGGGGCTGCTCTGGCTTCATCAGTGGCCACTGGGCACACATGGCAAGGCTGCCAGGAGCCCATGGGCATCACAGGGCTCACCCCTGGAGCAGGAGCGGACCCAGACAGGAGAAGCAGTGCTCACAGGACATAAGTGAAACCGTGGGTCTGCCCTGGGAGGCCTGGCCCCGAGGCTTACCATTCACACTGGTGTTGGGTGAAGGACGCTGGAGCAGCCCACAGCGCTCAACAGCACCTTTCTGCCGGCCTTGCCAGCCCCGGCTCCGCCGATGTCCAAGCCTCTTGATCCACAGGGCCTTGCGCAAACCTTCCCAGAAGCAGAGGGCCCGGGCCAGTTCTCTCTCGTGTCCAGCGCTGGCCATTGTTGCAGTGTTGCCCGCAACTCCCTTGGCTGCGCTGCTTCCCTCCTCGTGGCCACCCCCAGTGGCTCTGCAGGCTCCCAGACCAAGCAGCTGGTCACTCTGGCTGCTGAGCCCCGAAGATGGGTCTCTTATGAAGCAAAAACTCATAAATCTGTTCCTCCTAAAGAACCTTTCTGATTCTTCTTCTTATTATTAGTTTCCTTTAGAAAGAAATCAAGACAGTGAAACATTTTTATAAAAGGAGGCTTTATCTCTGTGGATAACCATATAGAAGCCATACAGTCTTTGCTGTGGTAATCTTCTCCTTATCCTTTACTGCTTTGATAATAAAAGGTTTCTTAAGGCCACAAAATAAAATCTTACTATCAAGCCGCAGAGATGAGAGGAGATGGGTTTTGAAGGACAAAGGGCACACCTGAGACATGGAAGGGCGGCACAGGCTTTACACACGCATGGTTCATACGGCACATGGTTGGTACCTCTTGGGGTGGAGCCAACGAAAGCACTGTGTTTCTGTCCTTCTTAGGACCTGCTGAAAAGCACACACTCTCGGCGCCTAGCGTTTCAGCAGCTGAGCTACGCCAGCTTGCAGACCAGCCGGGACCCGCTCTGATCTGAGCCATGCGTGACACACTGCATGGATGTGGTTACACTGTACCAAGCCGCGTGCCTCCTGGCATCACCAGCAGAGGAGGTCGCTCCCGCCAGGCAGTGGCGCCCTGCCTGCTGTGCCCGTCAACTGGCATTCTGGAGCGGCTACAGGTGGTACCTACTGACAGACAAGGAGTGCCCTGAAGGTAGAAGCATGACCTCTCACATCCCCAGCAGGACCATGACACTGCGAGGCTCCTGCAGCCCCTCAGCGCTGAGGCCATCAGCACGTCCTCCACAGGGGCCCTGCACTCCCCACGCCCACTGCCTGCAGCCTTGCCGGCACAGCGCACTCTAGGTCTTTCCTGTTCCCTGGCAGGACTCGGTCACCTCGCTGGGTGTGTAGTGCAGGTGTCAGATGTCCCTCCTTGATGCCAATCCTCGCTGGCTGAAGGACAGGCCACCAGGCTTCTCTTTCTTTCTCTTTCTGACTGTACTTGGCTGGCCCAGCGCAGTCAGGCAGCAAACATGATAAAAAGAGTGAATGTTCTGCCCAGCCTGGCCTCGCGCAGCACATCCCTGTCCTCTGTCCTACACTCTGCTCGCTGTTGGTGACAGTGCAGCACAAGTCACCCACGGTTGCTGTCACCCTCAGTCCACCAGGGCCACCCACCCCCAAGTCCAGATGATCGTCCTGGACCCCGTGCAGGTCTGGCCGTCCTGGGTGGAGTGGACACCACATTCTGTGCTCCCTGCCTCTCCTCCCGCCTGCTCAGCCCTCGGTGGACCTGTGTGCACCACTTCCACGTGGTCCCCACGCTCGGGCGCTCTTGCCACCCCGCCCTGCAAGTGCCCGGCTCCACCCCTGCTCCCACTTTTCTGCTCCTCTGCCCTGTGTGTCTGAGGCAGCTCGAAGCCTGTAGCCAGCCAATCCCACATCTCCAGCTCTCACCTTGCTTCGCAGACCTTATCCTGAAAGCCTTGTTCCTCTAAAGTGGAAGTGACCCCACTAGAAAGATGGCGAAACCAAAGCAGCAGAAGCATGCTGCCTGCATCAGAGCCATCTCTGTGTGCTGGCTGAGGAGTTGAGGCCGCTGCACATGCGTGTACGGGGTGGACTGGGAGGTGCAGTGAGGGCCTCACGGGGCAGTGGCACACGGAGCACTGCCCGCCCTCTGTGCAGCACCTATGTGGTGTCACTAAGGAAGCTGAGGGGCCTGATGTGCCGGCCACACACAGTGACCCTGTTGGTGACCCAAGGGACATGCATCACATCACAGGACTGGCAGTGCTGCCAGGGACAGACCAGCTCACAACCCTGCCCCACGCTTACCCATTCTGCCCATTAAGGTTGCTGGGGCCCACAGCTGCCTCTGAGTTCTAGCAGGAAACCCCTGCTGTCCTAGACTCATCCTAGGAAGCATTTCTTCCACAAACAGTGCAAATTTCTTTCTTTTTTTTTTTTTTTTGGAACTGGGGATTGAACTCAGGCCCTTGCACTTGCCAATAAGCGCTTATTCTACTGAGCCATCTCCCCGGTCCAGTGCAAAATTCTTAAGAAGATATAAATTTTAAACACATTTTAAGTTGAAGAGCACCTCTGATGGAATACTCCCAGAGGACACGGGTCATCAGCACAGCAAGGTGTCGCGTGTGTGGGCAGTTACAGCACACCAAGCAAAAGCGTGCAAAGGAGTCAGCTGTTGTTCTGAAAACTGATAAATGGCAGGGGCAAGGTGAAGATGTATCCTGCTACTCTATACAAAACACGCTGAATGGAAACCACGTGGTGGAGTCGCTCTTCTCTAAAGAGAAGGCTCTCAGGAGAGAGACGGCGACGGGCTTGTGTGTCCCCATCTCCCAAGTCCTGTGGCTCTACGTGGTGGCGCTCAGTGGCTGCGAGTATCACAGAAAGGAGACGTGTCCTTTGGAGTTGGGATACACTTATCATAGGGCACAGAGCCTCGGTGAGGCTTAGAACTGAGGTTCCCCAAGAGGAATACTTCACCGTGTGATCTTCCCAGCACCCCGGTAAAGACACGGCACTGACAGAGCGCCCCTCTGAAAGCAAGCACAGCGCAGTCGTGTCACAGTTCCAGCTCCAGTGGCAGGTAGCAACGGAAACAGAGCGGGCTACGTGCTACCGTGGAGGTGCGGTCACAGACTCAGGCCTGGGCAGCTCTTCTTCTTTTGGACAACGTTAAGGACAACCTGGTTTCTTCAAATAAATGCCACAAGGATAAGAAAACAGATGGGAGGCAACTTAGTGGATTCAAACTCATTGGGCACCGAAAGGGCCCAAGTTCGGCCCTGGCTTAAACTGTTAAAGAAATGTTAGAAATAATTGAGAAAATCTCAATGCTGACTGATGTCTGATGTCACTGAAGTACTGTTAATTTTTAAGTGATGTAATGACACTGTGGTTCTAACCCCAAATTGCCCTTATGTTTGAAAGGCATATTGAACGGTTTGTGGTCAAAATGAAACAAGAGCGCCTGGCACCTCCGCTCGTCTAGGCGTTAGGACCGTGCGGTGGAGTGCAGCAGGGAGCTGTGCTGGTTGGAGAGGGGGGTGGCTGTGGGCCAGGGAGAGAGGGCCAGCCTCAAAGTGCAGCACTTCCTGCAGGCAGCCCTTTTCAAAGGCCTAACCAAAAAGCAAATGGAACATAAGGGAAGAAGGTCCTTAGAGCCTTGAAAGACTGACTCGGGAGAGCGAGAAAGACATAGCCTGGCTCCTGCCCGGTCTGTATCCGACCAGGGCCCCCCTCGCTGCTGGGAGAGGGGCATGCAGTGACACTGGGGACCACAGCCCTTCGCCACCAAGGGCCAGCTTCACCCACACTACATTGTTTTGGAGCTTTGGCATGTATAGGGCAAAAACACACCCAAATTAAATTCCAAGCAGCCCAACCCCAAAAGACTCTTTTTAGAGGTGTTGACAGTGATTTAATCAGCAGATGTCACCATGCAATCCTTGGGAATACCCTGCCATGTCGCCTCAGCTTGGAGACAGAGAGTGCTGCTGGCGATGTAGCATAGAAATATTTATGGTAATTTTGTATTTTGTTTAACACAACTCATTTTCTCTTACTCCATGCTTCCGCAAGCCTGTCTTTGATGGAGCATTCTTGCCCTTGTTTCTGTTTTCCCAGCATCATTGACAAAGAAGTTTCGCTGATGGCAGAAATGGATAAAGTAAAAGAAGAAGCCAGTAAGTACACGCGGTCATCTACTCAGGGCTCGTGGACCGGAAATGAGCCTGCTCGGGGACAGTGGCAGCTCTGCCCTGAACTCTGGGCCCATGCACTCTGCCACCTTGGGTGAGCCACTGGCCCCCGGAGAGCAGCACCTGCCATAGCACGCTGTCACCGCACACAGCCACTCGGGGTAACCGTGTCCGCTGAGTTGTTGAAAGTCCAAGGGGACTTTCGTCCACATAGAGAACTTAGGCTAGCTGGCTTTCAGATGACCGCAGATTTCATACTGAATTTCCAGACACTGGTGTTTAAGCCTTTGCAGATCCGGGTCTTGCTGCACGGCTCCTACAGGCCTCACTGTTTCTCTTTCAGGACACTGACTTGGGCTTATCAAACTCCACTTCCCTTTCTATTTTTTTCCATAATTTTATTGAGAAATAAATAGCAATGAGACAGTTTCAAATCAAATTTGTAGGACGGTTCCAATAATTAACACACTGTATACTGTCTTCCTAGTGGTTATTTGTTGTACAAGATGCAGACATGATATCCTATTTATAAACACTATTAGAACAAATCCCTCTATTCATTAAGAGAATGTAACTATATATCTATCCTAACCACTTTGAATACACAGATACAAAATGGACATTCATCTGTATCCCCTTTTTTGTTTAGTTCCATCATTTAAATATTATAGGTGTGTGAACTCAGCAAAATTTTCCAAAATAGTCCAGTAGTCCATAATAGTATTGGGTCTTCCGCTTGACTGGCAAGGTCAGAAGTTGTTGACCTGAGTTCCCTACAGCTCAACACAACAACATGGCTTTATTTCTTAAAGTAGCTCCACCAGAGGCTGGGCCTAAGTGCCTGCAGCACTGTGGGTGGCATCTGCACGGCTCACAGGGACTTTTTCAAGCGCTTGACTCACAAGTCCAACAAGCAAAACACGCCTGATCTTAAGCAGTGTGGAGAAGATTAATAATTCAGACTCAGAGGTGTGCTGGATATGGTTTTCTCAAAATACTCCAATTCTGTTTACAAACTGCATAAAATAGGCTAATACCTGCCAACTTAAAAGCGCAAAAAAAGATCAATTCCACATTTTAAATTGAAATCGCAAGTTAGATTGCTTAATGCTCCAAATTCCCTGTTAATATAATGAACATACTCAAGTTATCTGATCATTGCAAAACTTTTCCTAAATTTCACACAAAACTTGAACATGCTAAATTTGATTTACTTCATTTTCTCTATGTGCACGTTTCCCAGCTTGGTGAAGTCACTCCACAAGGGCCAGTTCACCTCCTGCACAGGCTGAGACCACGGGCTGAGCGCCAGGGCGCGGGCTCACCTCCAGCCTCGGAGGATGCGCAGAGCCTGCTCTCACTCTGAGTCCAGCCGGGCCCCACTTCCCCCGCAGACTGTGGCCTCACAACCCTGGCTTCCTGGGCACCCTACATTTCATCTCGCACCCTGCCCAGGTTCCACATAAGTCCTCACCTTGGCCACGGTGTCTGTGCAGAGAATGACAGACCAGGCCAAGCTCTTCGCTCTTTTTGTTTTTCTTCTCTGAATACTGACCACAGTTCAGTTGTCACTTTATGGAAAGGAGCTATTGTGGTTTTTGTTACACAATTTTAAAAATATTTTAAACAATATTTTAAAACCAAAGCACAGCAGGATCTGTGACATGAAGTGAATGTGGCCCGGAGTGGAGCTGAGGAATATTCACAGTGCTTCTGATTGTGAAGCTCTCTTATTCTTACGGCGTTTGTTGATTTCCTCAGTACAATGGATCATACACGTGGCTCGAGGTTGACCAGTTGTAGAGACAGTAGTATGTGCCCCTGATGAAAGTGCGCAAGGTTGGCGCAGATGCAGCGTCCCGCCGCGCAGGCACAGAAAGCTGCCTCCCCAGCAGCCCTGGGCTCACGTCCTCGCGCTCCCTTCCTGGGGCACCGTGCTGCTGCCGTGTCCTGCAGCTCGGGCAGCCCTGGAGAACGCCATGAGCTGGGCTGTTGTGGGGAAGGTGTGGGGCATGCCCCAGCCCAGGTGCCCTGGCACTTCAGCTCTGGGCATCAGGTCCACTGAGTGTGAGCAGTGGGTGCAGGGGGCCTCAGTCCAGAGCAGCCCCGGAGCTCGCAGGGTCCAGGGCCACCCTCCACCTGCACTGTGACACGCTGAACCGTTCTGCTAGCTTCTCCAACCCTGAGAAAAGGGATAATATCCGTGTCAAGGAGTCGCCATAACAAGGTGAGGAGTCGCAGACCAGCGTGCTGTGCAGTAAGGAGGGGGCCCAGCATCTGGCAGGACAGGCATGGCGGGGCCAGGATGGCACCACCCTGAATGGGCCTGTGACTCGTGCCTGAGCTGCAAAGGCCTTGGCACCTAGCGGGCCACGTCTCCTTCCAGAGCGCCGGGGCTGTTGAAGGTTCACCATGGCATGCAGGACCGTCTTCACAGCCCCCACCTTGAACCTCAGACCCATCGTTTCTCATGGCTTCCGTTTGCCATATGGTATAAACATGTTTCCTCAATTATGACATCGGCGTTGTATCCCTCATGGCATCTAACACAACTCTGAGAAGATCGGTAGTGCTCCATAAATGTTTGGTAAGTGAACTGTCATAGTCAGTTTAGTGTCTGTAGATGACAGGCTCCAGTATGAGCCAACACACATGTGACTTCAAAGGGACTGTGAGGATAAACGTCTCAATTAACACTTAGCGCAGGCAGTTCAGGTATTCTCACTAGGCCTACCAGGCCCTTCCTAAGTGCTCCTCCATCAGCAGCACAGAGCCCTGCAGTGTGCAGTGCATCGAGTGTTGTGGACAAACTGAGCAGGTGGTGTCCTTGGTCTCTGGCACCCTCTGCCTGCTGGAGGCCTACGCAGGCATGTCCTGGAAACAGATGTGTCAAGAGGAAATCACCTTGTGTTACCAGAGACACGGGCGCGCTACGTAATGCCATCACAAGAACGTTTAAGTTGTTGAAAGGACTTCACAGATTGATTGCACCCAAAGAACCACACCTGTCCTGACGCTTGTCCCCAGCACCCTGCGCAGACGCCTGCTCACATCTCCTGCCCGCGAGTGTTACTGGTGAAGCCTTTGGACTTTCCCTGTCCAGGCCCCATGCGCCAGGCTTCTAGCGTGCTCCGGGAACTCGGGGAGATTGATGAACCCCATGGAGAAACGAGAGGCAGCGTCCTAGACTCTGTAATCACGCATAATAAAGGGATATATCCATGTCAAGGACACAGCCCGTGTGCAGCGAGGACTGGGCTGTGTGCTCTGTGCTGTCTCTGTCTCCCTCTACAGATTTCTGAGCAGACGGTGCTTTCAAAGCATACTTAGTATTCCACTTTAAATTGCAAGATCAATGAATCTTGTGACCTACTCCAGTTTTGTTTTTGTTTTTTGTGTCTGTCATTCAAGTGTTTGGGGTGAAAACGTTTGCCCTTAAAGAACACTGGCTTCTCCATCTCAACTTTTAAGATTTTTTATAATGAAAGCCTTTGAAATGTTAATGAGGCTCTATGTAGAGCGCATTCCCGCATTGCAGATGCAAAGTGTTCATTTTCATGCACATTTGCATGAGCTTAAACTCAGAAATTATTGGGCTCTTGCACCTGTTTTCCCATTTTAGGGCTCGTTTCAATCTGTTTCTACAAAGTCTTCTGTCTGGTGTGAATGCCTGAGTTACACATCATCAGAAAGAACAATGACCCCTAATTGAGCCATCGGAGAGTCAGACCCACTTAGCTCGCAGGCACTCAGGGTCTGCTGACCGCTCACTAACTGCTTTTCAAGGCTGGGCTTCACAACTCATTTTTTATCTTATTTTGCAAAAGAAAAGTGTCTGTCATCTTTTACTCAAGAATCATTTTCTTGTGCTGCAAACTTTTGTCCCCCACGGAGTAGAATTATAACCAATTAAAGGTACGGGTTTGACACCCCCGCCCTGAGACAGGGAACTGGCCTCTGCAGAGCCTCACTTATGCACTGACTTCTTCGTCAGCAAACGCACCAGGCACCTCCCACCTACCAGGCAGCGGTTGCCTTGGACGCAAAGCACTATGTGGTATGGCTTGTGCTGGGTGGCACCTGGGCAGGCAATGTCAGGCCAAGCAGAGCTGAGAGTGTGGCACCCCTGGGCCCCTAGGAATGTGGCCAGCTGTGCCCAGAAATTCTACAAGACACCTTAAAAGTGGAGTCTCCTGAGTTTTGAAGATGGACACCTAATCTGTAAAAGTAACACAAGGGCGGAGAGCGATAGCAGCCCACCTGCCTGTCAGCCTGAGGTGTTGTTCAGAAGATCAAGCTTCCTCTTTCCCTCCTGTCACCCTAGTGCTTCTGGATGTGGAAAGACCCCCGGGCGGCGATCAGTCTGCTCAGACACGAGATGTTTAGGGAGCTCCAGTCAGTAACCAAAGTGGGGGCAGAGCACTTGGCCACGGGCTCCAGGAGTTACTGGTCAGTGACTGCACTGACTTCCCAGCTTTGATACTAGCTTCACAAGACAATTTCTGTTTCATAGAATTATATTTCATAGAATTATATGGTTTGAGGGCTATCTTGCCACATAGGAAAAGAACAGGCTCTCTTCTTAGGCAGCAGGACTAAGGCATGGCTTATATAGGAATCAACGCTCAGTTGATTTTTTTTTTTTTTTTTTTTTTTTTTGCTTCTTTTCAGATGTTTGAGATGATTCTTGGGCATTCTATAGATTAAGAACTCTTAAAGTCAGAGTTCCTGCTGCGTGGCCCTGCATGTGCACTGAGTCTGATTTGACAAAGCAGCTGGTCCTTGCTGGGTAAAAGATGCAGCAGGAGCTCAGTGTGCATATCCTGTGAGAGTGTCTCACTTTTTAGGCCTTTGTTTGTCCAAGAGAAATGAAAGCAATTCACGCATGGTAAGTTGGAGAGCTCCCGTCTATCTATCGAAGACCAACTGCACATTTACATCTCACCCTCTGTGTCTGTATCCACTGCTTCTGTGCGCCTAAAGCTTTGGGGAGACACATGCACACAGGTTAATCCGCGAGCTTCAACGTCTGTCTGAACTTTCAGTTCACCTGAGAGTAAGAGGTGTGCAAGTGCAGCGCCAGAGGACTCCGGGCGTCCTCCCCACATGTGCAGATCTTAAGGAGTGCATACAAATGCAGTTCAAGCTGGCTTGACTTGCTCTTGAAAATTTTCCACCAGGAACATTATAACAAAGACATAAGACACTCTGGTCTGGAGCTTCTCTCTGTTTGCAAAAAGCACCGACAGCAGAGTCATTCTTCACCTTGCAAAAAGCTAATAGAGGGGGCCGGGGAGATGGCTCAGTGGAATAAGCACTTCCCTGGCAAGTGCAAGGGCCTGAGTTCAATCCCTGGTTCCGCCAGAGAAATAAAAATAGAGTTTATTTCAAAAAAAAAAAAAAAAAAAAAAAAGCTAATAGAGTGAAACTTCTGTGTAATAGTCCAATAATGCAGCTAGTTGCCCTCAGTGAGTATGTGTTAAAATTAGGTTCGATGCAGCTAGGATTTAATGATATAGTGCACAGAGAAATGTTTTGCTTAGTGGACATCCATCTTTGTGCATCAGATTGGATTTTAATACATCTATTGGATTTTTTTCAGAGGGGTTAGGGTTTTTTTTTTTAATATATTTGGTACAGGGTCTCACTACACAACTCGAACTCATAGTGATCCTCCTGTTTTCAGCCTCCCCAGTGCTGGGATTACAGGCATGCGCCACCACGCCCAGTCTCGATGGGCAGCTTAGCACACCCAGGGGCAAGGCCAGCAGAGCATATGCCGGGATCAATAATACATCTGTTTTCAGAGCTAGGTGTTCTGAGTCACGTTCAAAATGCCAGATGAAGCCAGTATGATTGGATGCCAGTGGAGAAAATGAAGAGTGTGGGTGGGCACATGGTGAGGCAGGAGGGACAGCACTTACTGCGGGTTTGGTGGATACGGACACAAACAGTGACTTGGAGGTGACGGCACCAAGACTAAACGCAGCTGGGTGGCCAACCCAGAAAACACGGCCTGGGCCAACAAGTGATCAGTCTGTAGACGAAAATTGGATTCCAAGAAATGTGCTTGTTTAAAGCTTCAGTCTCGGCCCTAACATATTTTCCCTTCTTATTTGGCAGTGGAAATCCTGACTGCTCGTCAGAAGAAAGCAGAAGAACTAAAGAGACTCACCGATCTAGCCAGCCAGATGGCTGAGTTACAGCTGGCTGAACTCAGGGCAGAGATCAAGGTCAGTGCAGGAGCGCCCGCCCGAGCCCCCGAGCAGGCTCACGTCCCGGCAGCAGCACTGCTCTCAGCGGGGAAGGGGGGCTCACGCACAGCCAGCGCTCTTTCCAGGGTGGAAACGGAAGGTGTGGAGGACAAAGAACCACCTACTCGGGGTGATTTAGAATTACATGGTCTGAGGACTATATTGCCACATAGGAAAAGAACAGGCTCTCTTCTCAGGCAGCAGGACTAATCCAAATACGGTGTACTCAACCATGAATTACGGCTAGGATGGGGAAATTAGTTTTACACCATATAATTTATATGTGTGTATGTAAGCACACACAAGTGTGGACTCAGTGTGACAGGATTCTGAAGCATGCCCTCTGTGAAGACTTTTTCCACTACCCTTCCCTTACCTCATTGCCTTTGTATAATATTACAACCCACAGTTGTGTACAAGGTGTGATGACACATGATGGTGTCCAAATTTTTAAATAGTAAACGACACCCTGTCGTCCATCAGTCCCCCTCGTGCTCGCCCTTGGTTTGCACACACTTAGCCTGCCCTTCCTCACTTCCTCCAGCAGCTCTGCAGGTGCTGCTGCAGGTGCGCCTGACAGAAAGGCAGGCCCGTAAGCACACTACAGTGCCTTCACCCACCTGCTTCCCGGGACCTGGGACCAGTTGGCCTCTGGCTCTTTCCCACAGTCAGAATGGTCGTGAAAAATAAACGCTTCAAATCCATTCAGGACATCAAGGCAGCCGCAGCAGCACCACCGGAGACACTCGTGGAAGGACTTCCAGAAGGGCTTCAGCTTTGGGAACGGTGGGCTGAGCGTGTTGGAATGGTGCGCCCGCACTGCAAGGGGATTGTGGCAATGTGCCTTTTAAAATTTTTTGATTTCAACCTGTCTTTGTTAGATACCTTTTGTTACAAGCAACAAAAACTGACCTTGTCTGGGTCCAGAACAGAGTCTGGGGGTCCTGGGGGGAAGGAAGCGGCACATCCCCTCTCTGTTCAGGGCACGCAGAGTGAAGGAGTGATCTCTGGGCCCTTGTGCAGCCCCGTCCTGATGCAAATCCCGGACAGGTTTCGCTGCAGCCTAGCAACCCGTGCTCATCCTCAGATGGTGAGGGCCCGGGCTCCCGAGGGAAGCAGTCCAGCCCACATTCCTGCTTCTGGGGCCCTGGACAGCTGGTTTCTGATCTTAGACCTTAGAACCCCAGCTCCCTGGTCTATCAAAAGGAAGTAGAAACTGTTGTCTGCCTAGTAATGTACTCAGAGGAAAATGAGATGATGTATTAAGGATTTGGCAAGGGCCCGAGAGTGTTCCATAAATTTTTAATGTTCCAGCTCAAATGCTCCCTCTTATGTAACTTCTGTTCCCTTCAGATTATTTCTTCCTCTTGGTGCCTAAAGGATCAACCACATCCTACCTTACGTTTAATGCTGTCTGTCCCCCTTGCTCAAGGAGGACTGAGTCATGGTTATTTCTGCATTCTCACTCTGTCATCTACACATGGATCCTCATTTTAAACTGAATTTTAAGTGAATTAAAAAATAGTCTTTTCTACCTCCTGTAACAGCGCTTGAAATCTCATCATAGATGATGGGTTGCAGATACCGATGGCCCCTCAGACTTCCTGTTTCCCTGTTAAAAAGAGATGGGGGTCTAGGAGGGTGATATGTTTTGTCCCAGTAGTCACTACCTCCGCAGGCTCTTGGGGTGCTGAAAGGTTAGCAATGAGTCTAGGCGTAGGTTTAGCTGTGTTGCGGCCTGCCCAGGCCCGAGCAGGAGACAGACAAGATTCACGCAGATTCCTGGGAGCCCAGCTTCGACCCTGTTGGGCGCCATCCCTGCTGCGGGAACAGAGTCAATGAGTCTGCAGCTGGCACGGGCATTCTCCTCTGTCCTTCTCTCCTCAGCACTTTGTCAGTGAGCGCAAATATGACGAGGAGCTGGGGAAGGCAGCCCGTTTCTCCTGCGATACCGAACAGCTAAAGGACCAAATCATGCTCTGCGGAGAAAGTGAGTGTTGCATGCCTGCTGAAGGATTCTGCGGAGCAAGCTCACTGCTGCTTGAGTTGATGGGGGGCACGTGTGCAGCTCCCAGGGGCTACATGAGGTCGGGGGTGCTTTACGGACCCCAGGTCATGACACAAGTCACTAGAAATGTCAGGCTTGCCCCTGCCCATCTGTAAAGCCCCAGGATGCGTGAAGCAGAACTGCACAGGTCAGCTGGTTTATGCCTCATGCAACCTCTGCCCAAGTAGCACCGGGCACAGCACCCTGTGACTTCACAGTCCTGGTGCCACAGTGAGGACCAGCAGCTACGCTTGGGCAGGGCCTGGCTGGCCTGCCAGGCCCCACATCTGCACTCCCCCAGCTGGGTCCTCTCTGCCGGGAGAAGCAAAGATGTCACCTGCACCATTAGCATTAGTCTTGTCTCCATTGAGCCTTAACTAGGCAGCTAACAGAGAGCAGCATGGTGCTCCTTCCCACTGCCGTGGCCATGCCCAGGCCCCAAGCTGGCAAGGAGGCACCGCAGGATGAGCAGACAGACCCGAGAGCAGGGAAAACTGGGCCTGCACCGCTCATTTCTCAAAGTCTATGCTTTTCTTCTAAGTCTAAAAACTGTAAGTTTGATCTAAAATTACCCAATGGTATTAAATAGAACTTGGCATTATGGGGTCTCCTGCACACCTCTGTGCCTGTGGGGCTCACACAGGATGACACCGCTAGCCACACATGGTCATGCGGCTCACTTCACCACTTCGAGGGCTGTGACATGTTCCACGTCTATCAAGCCGATTGCTTCTGCACATACAATTGCCGTGACCGAGCTGACTGTGGCAGCTACTTTGGTTCGAGGCCTGCGTGGCCGCCCTTTGCCACACACTCCAGTGGTTTCCTTATCTCACTGCTGATTGCTCTTCCTCTTCTCTCCGTGCCTGCTCGCCCTCTCCCAACCTTACCCACTGGGTGCCGCTCTGCAGCCACACTGAGCCTCTCCAGGGGGGGGGGGGAGTTCGCTGTCCACCCAGGTTCGTATCCTGCATGATGGCCACTCTTGCCAGGAGCTTGCAGTGGCTCTGAGCTGAATATAGCTGAACTGCCCTGGCTATGTCTGCATGGCCCCAAATCGCTGTCACCCCTTACCTGCAAAATGAAGGGACTGGACATATGTCTCTGCCTTTTCTGTTTCTAATGTTCTGTGATCCCACTAGTCACCCCTAACCCTCTTGCAGAACCCTGGGATTAAGTCTGATCCAACAAAGGTAGCAGAGAAAGTTGCTTTTAAAAATTGGTGACAATTTTAAGATTCAGAGAAAAAAGTCTTGCGTCTAGCCTGGCAGGTGTGATCCAGCCTGTGCTGAGGGGAAGCCGGGCTTCAGCCTCGCATCAGTTCCCTCTGGCCCAGAGATGTCATCCCATCAGACACCACTTCTTTCCGGGCAGCAGGAAGGGTGACCCTAAATGCAGACACAAGGGCTGTGTACAGAGGACACGTGTGGGCCTCGGGCCTGGCCCGTAACTGAGGCACATGCGTGACTCAGAGCCACAAAACCTGTAATCCTCACCACTTGTCCCCGCAAATGGCTGTGCACCTCTGTGTCCGCCACCACTGGCCTTAGGTCCGACGAAGCAGCTTGGTGTCCTGACCTCCTAGCCATCCTGATGTGACACTGTGCCCTTCCCATTGCAGTCACTCACCCAAAGAACAGCTACTCCTCGCGAGCGCCCTGCAGCTCCCTGCTGCCTCTGCTCAGTGCCCACGGGGCTGGCTCCGGGAGACAGAGTGGCTTCACCCGGAAGTCATCCAGCCACAGCAAGGGCACTGAGGGTAAAGCCGCCACCTCAAAACTGCTGGGCAGCCTTCCCAGTGCCGGAGAGCCCTCTCACCAGGCCATGCCCGCTGCCAAGCAGGTAAGCACTGGGGGCCCTGCAGACCCTGGTGGGAAGGAGCCCCCACCGCCGTACCCTGCATGGTACATCTTTACATGATAGCCCATACCCAGCGTGGGTGCGTCTCTGCGTGACCCTGGTGGCCGCTGCCCTTCAGACTCAGGAGCAGAATCAGAACGGAGCTCACCATCCGCTGTCGGGAGAGGAAGCCTGGCGCCTGCTGCTTTGAAGATCATTCAGCTCCCACTTAGTGGTCCACGGATCAGTCAGAGGTCACCGTTAGGGCATACCTCTCTTGGATTTCATAAATGTGACGTATTTCAGGTCATTGCAATCTACCACAACCTCTACACAGACGGGTTTCCAAGGGACAGCGTTTCAGTTACTCTTCTCTCACTGGTGGGACAAATACCCGACACCCAAAATGAAGGAAGGAAACTTTTATTTAGCTCTCAGTTACTGGAGGTTTCAGTCCATACTCAGCTGGCTCCAAGGCAGAGCAGCATGGCAGAGAGCAGCCTTTCGTGGTGGCGGCAAAGAGCAAGACTGCAAAATGGCAGGAGCAGCGGCAACAATGGCAACAGAGAGCAAGTCTGTCTCTCTTAGGTTGCATTCAGGCTCTCTGCCCCAGCTGGGTGAGCACTCACACCCATAATCCCAGAAGCACTCATATCCATAATCCCAGGAGCACTCATACCCATAATCCCAGTAGCACTCACACGCATAATCCCAGCAGCACTCACCCCATGGGTCACGAGTTAATCACAAACTCTAGAAGTCGGCCCCGTGACTGCGTGAGGCTTTGGGGGGGCCAACTAGACACAAACCATAACAGACAGTCTTTCTTCTGTCCTGTACATCACTGTACCTCTCAGCTGTGACTTCTCCCTTGTGCCAAAGAGAACAGGAACTGGGACTTCACGGGACAGGCCTTGGCCTGCTGTGGCGGCGCCTCACGCTTAGTGTTCCCAGCCTCTCCTGGGGCTCTAATACACCCTTCAGCGCGGCACTGGTGGCTCCGTGGCTTCAAGACCACACCCAAGTCTGCTGCACTTGTAGTCTGAATACATCCTCACCTGTGCTGGGCATTGCTCAGCATGAAGTACCAGGCTAAGCCTAAGTGCAATTTCATCTGTTTCCTTTCCCCAGATTTTTATGGCAAAAGCTGAACAAAGCCAGGGCTGGGGTGTAGCTCAGTGGTAGAGTGCTTGCCTGGCATGCACAGACCTCTGGGTGCCAACCCAGCACCAGAAAACAAAATAGAAATTTAAAAAGCAAAAGCAAAAGGAACCAGATCGAACGTGATGCAGCAGGTGCCTCTGCAGCTCCTGCTTCAGTGTTTCTGTGCACACTACAGGTTGAAAGGCTGTCCCTACCTCAGGCGAACACTGCTCCCAGTTCAGCCCTCCCCACAGGGGCTGGGGAGGCCGTGCGTGTGCATGTGGCCTTCCAGAGCCGGAGTGCTCCGAGGACTGGGACCTGAATCCCGCTGCCACGCAGGCCAAGGCTGCTCCTGGGCAGCCCACAGCCCTCCCCTGCACTGCCAGTTCCAGTGCCGCAGGTCCCCACAGCAGCAGAGAGAGGTGGCACTGTGGGCAAGGTCCACGTTCACCATATATGCACAGCCAGAGGTGGACAGAAGCTGCACTTGGGCCTGCGCCAGTACTCGCCCCTGGGCCCTGGGCTGCAGGTGCTCAGGGCCCCAACCTAGGGCGCCTGGGTACAGAGCACAGAGCACCAGCCTTGCAGGTCTGTAACTCATCACGTAATTCTGCGCTAGAGCTTGGGTGCTGGGGACAGGTCCGAGTTCATGTAACAGCGCACGCGGCGACACTGTGAGAAGACAGCACATAAACCGGGCCAGCTGCACGGCTTCCCGACAGTAGACCCTGGGAGAGCCCTCAAACGCATCACCCTCATACATTCGAGAGAGCAAGTCCAGGCAGCTCTCTGGGGAGTTCTGACAGCCATGTGACAGTGTGGGTGCAGGCCTTCCCAGGGGCAGCCCTCAGGCCTGAGCCCCAAGCCCAGAAGCCGCTGCTATGTGGTGCAGCCAGCCACGGTCCACGGCCGCCTCGTCACTCATCACCATGTTCTCAGCCACTGCCTCGTTCAGGAATGAGTCCTCAGCGCCAGTTTTCAAAATTGCTTGGTGGCTCTCTGCTCCTGCGCGCCCGCCGACAGCCGTTCTTCCGTGTAGCCAGCAGCAATCCAGCAAGATGGTGAAGGTCGGAGTGAACGGATTTGGTCATACTGGACACCAGCGCTGCTTTCACTGGCAGGGTGGATGTTGTGGCCATCAGTGGCCCCTTCGTTGACCTCAACTACATGGTCGACGTGTTCCAGTACGACTCCGCCCACGGCAAGTTCCACGGCACTGTCAAGGCTGAGGACAGGAAGCTCGTCATCAACGGAAAGCCATCACCATCTTCCAAGAGCGAGATCCCGCCAACATCAAGTGGGGTGACGCTGGTGCTGAGTACGTGGTGGGGTCCGCTGGTGTCTTCACCGCCATGGAGAAGGCCGGGCTCACCTGAAGGGTGGTGCCAAAAGGGTCATCATCTCCGCCCCTCCCGCCCATGCCCCCATGTTGTGAATCGCGAGAAGTACGACGACTCCCTCAAGGTTGTCAGCAACGCTCCCTGTACCACCACCTGCTCAGCCCTGCTGGCCAAGGTCATCCACGACAACTTGGCATCATGGAGGGACTCATGACCACAGTCCACATCATCACTGCCACCCAGAAGACTGTGGACAGGCCCTCTGGGAAGCTGTGGCGTGATGGCTGTGGGGCTGCCCAGAACATCATCCCTGTATCCACTGGTGCTGCCAAGGCCGTGGGAAGGTCACCCCGGAGCTGAACGGGAAGCTCACAGGCATGGCCTTCCATGTGCCCACTCCCAACGTGTCATGGTGGATCTGACCTGCCACCTGGAGAAAGTGGCTAAATATGACATCAAAAGGTGGTGAAGCAGGCATCAGATGGTCCCCTCAAAGGCATGCTGGGCTACACCAAGGACCAGGTTGTGTCTTGCAACTTCAACAGTGACACCCATTCTTCCACCTTTGGTGCTGGGACTGGCA